CTAGTGTAATGTAGTATTTGCTTGTTCCTTTTGTAATAGTTGCCTTCTGACTTCTGCAACTTTGGAGTCTGGTAACTCACAGCGGCTTCTCTTTATCTAAAATAAAAAAAAAATAAAAAATTACTCGGAAAATATCTAACATCCTGCTGTAGAAATTAGGTATGATGACTTCGGAAGATATAAGGATATAGAAGCTAGGTGTGGTGACTTCGGAAGATATAAGGATATAGAAGCTAGGTGTGGTGACTGCGGAAGATATAAGGATATAGAAGTTAGGTATGATGACTTTGGAAAAGATATAAGGATATAGAAACTAGGTGTGGTGACTGCGGAAGATATGAGGATATAGAAGTTAGGTGTGGTGACTGCGGAAGATATAAGGATATAGAAGTTAGGTGTGGTGACTGCGGAAGATATAAGGATATAGAAGTTAGGTGTGGTGACTGCGGAAGATATAAGGATATAGAAGTTAGGTGTGGTAACTGTGGAAGCTTTAAGTATATAGATGTTAGGTGTGGTGGCTGCGGAAGATATAAGGATATAGAAGTTAGGTGTGGTGACTGCGGAAGATATAAGGATATAGAAGTTAGGTGTGGTGACTGCGGAAGATATAAGGATATAGAAGTTAGGTGTGGTGACTGTGGAAGATTTAAGTATATAGATGTTAGGTGTGGTGGCTGCGGAAGATATCAGGATATAGAAGTTAGGTGTGGTGACTGCGTAAGATATAAGGATATAGAAGCTAGGTGTGGTGACTGTGGAAGATTTAAGGATATAGAAGCTAGGTGTGGTGACTGCGGAATATATAAGGATATAGAAGTTAGGTGTGGTGACTGTGGAAGATATAAGGATATAGAAGCTAGGTGTGGTGACTGTGGAAGATTTAAGGATATAGAAGCTAGGTGTAGTGACTGCGGAAGATATAAGGATATAGAAGCTAGGTGTGGTGACTGTGGAAGATATAAGGATATAGAAGCTAGGTGTGGTGACTGCGGAAGATATAAGGATATAGAAGCTAGGTGTGGTGACTGTGGAAGATTTAAGGATATAGAAGCTAGGTGTGGTGACTGTGGAAGATTTAAGGATATAGAAGCTAGGTGTGGTGACTGTGGAAGATATAAGGAAATAGAAGCCAAGTGTGGTGACTGTGGAAGATTTAAGGATATAGAAGCTAGGTGTGGTGACTGTGGAAGATATAAGGATATAGAAGCTAGGTGTGGTGACTGTGGAAGATATAAGGATATAGAATCTAGGTGTGGTGACTGTGGAAGATATAAGGATATAGAAGCTAGGTGTGGTGACTGCGGAAGATATAAGGATATAGAAGCTAGGTGTGGTGACTGTGGAAGATTTAAGGATATAGAAGCTAGGTGTGGTGACTGTGGAAGATATAAGGATATAGAAGCCAAGTGTGGTGACTGTGGAAGATATAAGGATATAGAAGCTAGGTGTGGTGACTGCGGAAGATATAAGGATATAGAAGCTAGGTGTGGTGACTGCGGAAGATATAAGGATATAGAAGCTAAGTGTGGTGACTGTATGAGAGATAATACCAGACATGGTTACAAAAGCTAAGTGGGGGGGGGGGGAGGAGAGAGAATTGAATGAGATTTATGGATACATAAGATGATTGTGGTGCTTGTTTGAGATCATGGATGAGTTATGAGTGGGGGTTATCTTCACAGCACTCCGAACACGTCCAGAAATGCTCAGATTCCCCCTTCAGAATATACATCAGCGTCTCATAGGTAATCGTGCCAGTCCTATGATAGTAAACAAGACTTCTTGTACGTCCGGTATGCCTCTCTTGCTTGGCTGTGCCGATCTCTACTCCAATGGGTTTTTTAAAGCTTAGGAGTGAAGTGAAACGTTGCTTCTAAAATCCTCACAGCGTCCCCACCGTCATTACCTACATCGTCACGCTGTAGGCAGTTATAGAGAAGGCACCCAAGCTTTCTGGATTGTTCTGCCTGCAGGACAAGCTGTGAATGTGTAAGGAAGTTGAAGGCCAGCAGCCATAGATTACATTACTACACAGTGTCTAACGCTCAGGCACTGAGGCGAGGCCAGGATCCCCCTTACGATTACTGATGGTAACAAATTGTTTGAATACCTAGAAGGGACGTCAGTTTATTACAGAGTGGCACGACAACTGGAGCGCTAGAAACGTAGATTACAACATGAGGTACAACAGAAGCAGAACATTAATTTTTCCACTAGAAGGGAGACAACTAACCGAGAAGCTACGATGCTGACTATGCCAGGTTGACGGGTGGCATAGACGTTACAAATCACCCAAGCGTTGAGGGGAGACTATATAACGAGACAAGGAGAACGGGGAAGACGCCCAGGACGCCGGCAAAGGATAAGTGAGGGTCAGACGTGTTTAACATATAAATCTATAACAAAAACTGTAGCTTGTGAATTATAGCCGGTCTACTGTATGGCAGAGGAGTTTAACGAAATAGAAAGCGAGCGAATCATCTTTTATCATCCTTTTCAGGATTAAATTTTTAATTTGAAGCTCCACCCTGGCTTTTGCCGGGGGCCGCAATATAGGCAGGCCATAAATATGGCTAAATGTCTGAACGCGGTTTCTGGGACCTCTCCACGGCGATCCTCATCCGCATGGTGGCACTTTGTGTCATCCGGTGTTTATCGCTTGTGTGATGTCCTGGTGGAGTAGAAAGTCAGTCAGTCAGTCAATAGAAAGCGAACGTAAAACATCTTAGGAGTAAATGAGATGTACCTAACAGTGAATACAGCATAAACTTGGTTAGAAGAAAGACAGTTTTACGTCGTGTTGGAAAAGACTTTTTTAAACATTCGATAACAGAAAATAAACTATTAGAAGTGATAGACATACGTTACAGCAACTGATTTCGAAATGTATGTTGTTTATCTGAAATCATCGTTGTATGTGAATTGACATTGTGTTTTATTAATAAACAAATTTTAATTCCATATTGTGATTTGTTGGATCACCGGTCGTGATGTTAGAACACAACCGACAAGACCATCTAATCACCTGAGTCCGTTGGGGCATGCTTGAGCTTGGGGGACATGGAAGACTAGATAGCGTCCCAATGGCACATGCACGCGTGTGTCCTTGTATACAAAGGACCCGTCTGTGTAAATCAGCGTGTCTGCCTCATCTGACTTGTCACTGATAAGTCGTGTGGGCCTTACCGTTGACAGCAACAGTATTCTGCTTCTGACAACTCCTGTCAAGCGTGAAGATACAGGAGAAGGTGCGACTAAGCGTTTGATATCTTTTCCACGTCAGGATAGATGTCTTCAGGGCTGCAAAATTGCTTGGTATCGTCCTTTGTCCTACCCAGCCACAATTTGTCAATTTTTAGTCTGTTCCTCCTCCCCCCCCCCCCACCCACCTTTCCCCTTTTTGTGTGTGAATGAGCATAGGGTGCAAATTGTGTTTCAGTTCTGAGCTAATCTTCAGGTATGCGCGAGACCTCCAAATCTTGATCGTGCAGTTAGAGTTAGGAAAGTCAAGAAGTTATTTCAGTGCTGCGCAAGAGGTGTCTCTTGTACACTCCCGAACAAAGCGCATGGCTTCATTTGGCACCTTCTTGTATCGTTCAGTCTGAGTCTAGCTGACAGTGAGAATGGCTAAAGCCTATTTAGGGGGAGAAGGAATCAGTCCAGTTATCAGAAGTAAAAGCAGTCTCAGCTTCATACGGGCAGCGGCCAGGACCCTCATTCCTGAAAGGCCTAACTGAGTGCTTTAGTTATGGTATGGTCAAAGTGTTCTTTGAATTTCAGACGGCGATCAAACGTCACTTCGAGATAAGTCACCAGGTTTGTTCTTGTAAAAATTGATCGCTGCTTTTCACTGCTGGTAGGTCTGCCCTGACTATACTATAAGGAAAGCACGCTAAAAAGCCTTTGGACTGGAATATAACAAAAGGATATGTGATCAAATTTGTTGTGTATTTCATTGGCAATTTCCTGACAATTCCTAGTTAGGTTAGTTGCGTATCCTTTACAGGGACTCCCGGCTGTCGTGTGGTTGTTTTTAGGCAAATGTACGTCCAGTAGTTTTCCATTGCATTCTGGATGGTCAGCTTTCTTTATACCACTGTCGAAACCAACGCAAGGCGCATGGCCCGCAGATGGGATCGAATCTGGCATCCTGGCATTACGAAGCATTGGCATCGACTTCACCACAGAGCTGACATCCCCAAACACCAAGATATCAGCAAATGGCGGAGTCCTGCCATTCGCAAGCAACTGCTGCTCAGTAATCAGCACCGTATACACACTGAACAGAATTGGAGACAGCTGAGCTGAGAACCCTGAGGCAATCCTGAACAGAATATTATCGGTTCTGAGGACCGCCAACCACATTTGAACAACCGTCTCTGGAACAGTGCCGGTCGGTGATGAAAGAAGATAATATTAGACCGAACTGTCAGTTCTTACTTGGCCAGAATGACAACAATAACAACAACTAAAAACGTACAATGAGCAAAACTACCTGCAAGAAACTGTCCACCGATGTTTTGATTCCAGTTTCTGCCGGTAACACAAACCTGATCATGTAGTTGGCAATATGGCTGCCGATGTTGAGGACGCCACCGAATTCATTCACCTCCGTGATCATACTGAGGGTGTTTCCTGAATAAATACATACCATGGTGGAAACATTGGAAATTTTATAAACTAACATATACTGATTTAGGCTGATAGAAAGGAAAGAGCGCCCGTGTGTCACCGGGGCCCTCACGGGAAGCAAAGAATAGTGACACTGCACCCTACCAGGCATGTCGTAAAAGGCGACTAAGGGTAGGGTTGGGCGTGAGGTTGGCTACCTCATCCTGTAAAAACCATAACCACAAAAACCAACCAACCATGGATAAGTCAAAAAGAGAAGCAAATAAACTCCAGCCAACCAAGATGAGGGAAGGCTCTTCAAATAGAAGAAGTATGACACGGTGTGGAGAAAGCCGTAAGGAGTCCGGATCGTTGACTTACCTCCTCTCAGCTAGGAAAACCTCCAGAATTGGCACCTGGAATGTTAGAACTCTCTATGATATAGGGAGAACAATGGAAGTAGCAAAGGAAATGAAACATTATAGAATTAGTATTTTGGGGTTATGTGAAACTAGATGGACTGGGACAGGGAAAAGTATTCTCAATTCAGGAGAAACTATTTTGTTTCTCAGGACACACAGAGGAAAATTCGCCGCACAGTGAAGGAGTGGCCCTGATGCTATCAAAAGAAGCAGACAGAGCACTAATAGAATGGGAAGCTGTGAGTCCCAGAATAATAAGAGCATCTTTTAGAACAGTAAAACAGAAGGTGAACATGTCGGTAATACAGTGTTATGCACCAACAAATGATAAAGATGCATCTGTTAAGGAAGAATTTTACATGCAGCTTCAGAATATTATAAATAATGAAAGAAAGGGCAACTTAAAAATTTTGATGGGTGACTTGAATGCTAAGATAGGATCAGACAACACAGGTTATGAAGAAATTATGGGGAGACATGGTCTAGGAGAAATGAATGAAAATGGAGAATTGTTCACAAATTTTTGTGCAGGTAACAAGTATGTTATTGGTGGAAGTATTTTTCCCCATAAAAGAATACACAAGGCAACATGGGAATCACCAGACCATAAGACAACTAATCAAATTGACCACATATGTATTAACAAAAAGTTTAGATCATCCCTTTACGATGTTAGGGCTTTCAGAGGTGCCGATGTATTTACTGACCATTTCCTGGTGATAAGTAAAATCAAGTTGAAACTAAAAAGATATATAACATCTTATAATCATAGAAACCAATATAATGTAGGCTTTCTCAGAGATAAAGAAATTAAGGAACAGTTCTCAGTCACGGTCTCTAATAAGTACCAGGTGTTGCAGCAGTTAGCTGAAGATGTCAACACAGAAGTCTGCTGGGATCAGATCAAAGGAATCTGGAATGAATCTTGCGTAGAAGTTCTTGGCAAGAAAGAAAGGAAACATAAAGCATGGATAACACCAGAAACCATTAAACTGATTGAAGACAGGAAAAGTAAAAAGGCAGAATTAAACAATAGCAAAACTAGAGCTGCTAAAGCTAGAGCTCAGGAGAATTACACAGAAGCCAACAAGGAAGTTAGGAGGCATATAAGGGCAGATAAAGTGAAATATCTAAATGATCTAGCACAAGAAGCGGAGACAGCAGCAGCAAAAGGTAACCTCAGAGAACTTTACAGCAACACAAGAAAATTAGTAGGTAAATATAGTCAGCCAACTGGATCAATCAAAAATAGTCAAGGAAAGGTACTTACTAACACTAAAGATCAAATGGACAGATGGGTTTAATATTTTGAAATGCTTCTAAATAGACCAGGCCCAGAGGTTCCCCCAGATATCCAGCCTTTAGAAATGGAACTGAATATCAACTGTGAGATACCATCCAAAGAGGAAATTAGAAAAGCTATAAATCTTCTTAAGGAAGGAAAGGCGTCAGGCCCAGATGGTATCCCAGCTGAAGCCATCAGGACCAACATAAACACATCAACAGAATTGCTACATAGATTATTCAGTAAAGTCTGGGAGACCGAAGAAATACCAGCAGACTGGAGGGAAGGATATCTTGTGAAACTGCCCAAAAAAAGGTGATCTACAGGAGTGTGAAAACTATAGAGGAATTATGTTGCTGTCAGTTCCTGGAAAAATATTAAGTAGAATTATTTTGGAAAGATTAAAAGATGCTATTGATAAAATGCTAAGAGATGAGCAGGCGGGTTTTCGGTCCAACAGATCCTGTACTGAACAGATAGCCACATTACGTATTATAATAGAGCAAAGCATTGAACTGAACTCACCACTTTACATTGGATTTATAGACTATGAAAAAGCATTTGACAGCATTGATAGGGAATCTCTCTGGAAATTGATGGGGCACTATGGAATCCCACAGAAAATTATCAACTTAGTAAAGGCAACATATAAAGACATGAAATGTCGAGTTCTTCATGAGGGAAAGCTAACAGATGCATTTGAAATAAAAACAGGTGTGCGACAGGGATGTCTTTTGTCGCCTCTCCTATTTTTACTGGCTATAGACTGGACTATGAAAACAGTAACTGCTAACACCAAGAATGGAATTCAGTGGACCCTACAAAACAGCTTGATGATCTGGACTTCGCTGATGATATTGCCCTTCTGTCCCATTCACGGAATCAGATACAAGATAAATTAAATATACTTAATGCGAGATCACAGCAGCTTGGTCTGAAAATCCATAAAGGAAAGACAAAGATAATGAGAATAAATCAGGCAAATGGTAATGTGGTTTCTCTTGATGGCACCCCACTCCAAGACGTGGAGTCGTACACCTATTTGGGCAGTAATGTAGATAAAGATGGAGGAACTGATAGAGATATTAAAATAAGAATACAAAAGGCAAGAGGGGCTTTCATAGCACTAGGGAATTTGTGGAGGTCAAAAGAAATTAAAAGAAATACTAAACTAAAAATTTTTAATTCTAATGTCAAATCAGTACTATTGTATGGGGCGGAAACATGGAGAACAACGAAGGCAATTACTAATAAATTACAGACATTCATTAACTGGTGCCTGCGCAGAATAGAGGGAATAAAATGGTATGATAGAATAACTAATGTAGAACTTTGGGAGAGAACTAAACAGGCTCCAGTGGATCAGGAGGTGAGGAAAAGACGCTGGCGTTGGATAGGGCACACACTGAGAAAACAGGAGAACAGCATAACTAGAATGTCTTTGCATTGGAACCCACAGGGGCATAGGAATAAAGGAAGGCCAAAAAACACATGGAGAAGAGAGCTGGAGAATGAGGTTAGAAAGATTGGGAGGACATGGGGAGAGCTCCATGTAATGGCGAAGGATAGAACGACTTGGCGTGAGTTGGTTGAGGGCCTATGCTCCATTGGGGGATAAAAAGGCAGAAGAAGAAGAAGAAGAAGAAAGGAAAGAGAAGGGTCTATACTTCAATTAAACGCTGTTCTAAACACCCAATACGTGGTTCTGTTTTCACTCACAATACTCTTGCACTGTGTGGTTCTATCTTCACATTGTGTGGTTATGTCTTCACATTGTGTGGTTCTGTTTGCACATTGTGTAGTTTTGTCTTCACATTGTGTGGTTCTTGTCTGCACACGGTGTGATTCTATTGTGCGGTTATTCTGTATATTTCATGGTTCTGTCTGCTGCACATTGTGGAGTTCTGACTTCATTGTGTTCGGTTTTGTCTCCACATTGTGGAGTTCTGACTTCATTGTGTTCGGTTTTGTCTCCACATTGTGGAGTTCTGTCTTCATTGTGTTCGGTTTTGTCTCCACATTGTGGAGTTCTGACTTCATTGTGTTCGGTTTTGTCTCCACATTGTGTGGTTCTCTCTACACACTATCGGAGTTCTGTCTGCACACCGCGAGCTTCTGTTTGAAAATTGCTGTGATTTGTGTCCCTTTTACACTGTTTTGTTCGCACACTATATGGTTCTGTATGCATACTGCGGTTTTCTGTCTGCATTTTGTGTAATTCTGTCGGCACACTGTGTGGTTTTGCACACTGCGTAATTTTGTTTGCACACTATGGGGTTCTGTCTGCACACTGCTAGCTTCTGTCTGCATATTGTTCAGTTACACGGCTCTGTCTGCACACTGTCTGATAACATCTGCTCACTACATTTGTCTGTCAGCATCTCACGAGTTTTTCTTTTAAGTATTTATCTTTACCTCTGGCCTACATAATAAAGTATCTTGTGTATTTGTTGCTAAGTTTTCAATAAATAAAGCTAGCAAGGCTTGCTCTAAAGAGCTAGACGGTTCTTGCAATCAACACACACAGTGTGTGTATATGTGTGTGTATGTTTGTGTGTATGGGTGTGTGTATGTGTATGGATGTGTGTGTATGTGTGTTTTTTTTGTAAAATAGCGTTGACAATATATTTTAGAGTCTGATCGGCACTAAAGTGGTGTGGCCAACAATACTACACCGGCTGTCTTCATTTCTCAAGATATTTCCTGGTGCATATTTTAGTTCGGTCGGCCGGAACCTATATTAGTTTTTAGAATATGTGCTTATGGGGATTTGACTCTATGACCACTGGGCGATCAGGTCAGTTTGCTAGCCACTAGACTGTCCCTGGTCCCATTTGATTATAACAGGTTAAAAGTAAAATAAGGTTCACCTGTTGGATCGTGCAGACTGCCAACGATTGCTCCCGCCTTGTCGAGCTCCACCACAATGCCCCATTTGGTAAAGAGGTTTCTCAACTCCTTCAGTGACACATACTGCAGACATAAAACATACATTTCTCAGCCAGTTCAATTTAATCTTCATCTGCATCTTTAAAAAAATATAGACGAGTTTTCTAGTGCACTAAAAACGGTAGCTAACAAGAATCATTTCACAAATAATCAACGTATCGCAGACAAATTAAAAATATAATCCAGGATTTGGCTGAGATGGAATTATTTTTTCCATTACCTGCACTAGCGGTTTCCAACCGGTGTTACTCGCTCACTTTCCATATTCCGAAGCTGCTACAGTAAAAAAAAAAAAAAAATTGAATGAAATTAAAGAGTAAAAAACAAAAAGTAGAAATGGCTGCCACTCGCTCTAAAACTATTGAGACAAGGTGAGTGACCGTCCTGTCACACCTTTTGTGTCACGTGCGCTTCGATACTGTATGTTCGATATTTTCGGGGGGGGGGGGGGGGTTGGTGGTGTTTTTCCCCCTCGGAACTCCATATTATTATACAATATTTCCAGAGTTCATGGAATTACCTGGTATAAAACCAGCGGCTGGCTAGTCGATATAGAGTCGCTTCATAGTGAATGTTCATAGCGATTACATATTACATGTTCATAGTGATTACATGTTCATAGCGATTTTCTGGTGAGTTTTCTATGTGTTTCAAAATCAAAGTCTACTTGAGTTTTGGCTGCCTTTACGTAATGAATTCAAAATCTGTGTCTGGGGAAGCAAAGCTGATTTTGCTGTCCTTTTCAGTTAGATATCTCTGTAATCGGGATCTTTGCTTATATAGGTACCACAACAATTCATTGAAGCTGCTTAAACGCAGAACCAGACACTCGCCTGTGGTTATCAGCTAAAGATGAAAAAAGAGAACTGTATAAAACATTGTAACCACATGTTCTATTTAAACGTTGTTCACGTTATTTGTGTTTTCTTATTGTTGCTCTCACAAACAGTTTAAATTATATTGTAATGTAAATTGCTTGATTTAAAGATTTTTTGGAAAAAGAAACGTTTATTTGTGAGAAAGTTTTGACCACATAATATGTTTTTAAAATATAATTTAATTGCATGGACATTCTGCAGTTGTTTGGACGTCTCTTTACTTCACGTTCTTTACTATCTACCATTCCTAAAAGGGTTTTATATCTTGTCTATTTCTTTCAATAATTCTCTTTTCATTCACAGTCTTTCTAGAACCTCTGTATTTGATTGTTTTTGTTTAAAACGAGGCCTGCTCTGTATATCACCATTTACAGAGACAGCTAGATTTTTTCAGTTGTTTGTGCATTTTCCAAATATCTGTACCATACAACAGGGTTGGGTATATATACCATTTGAACATTCTCATTTTTAATGTGTTGTTCGTCTCTTTAGCTGTCAATAATTTTCGCATCTTATTGAAGATAGTTTTTGCTATAACTATTCTATTTTTGTTTTTAGTAATATTTCTGTTTCACTTCTGCCATTATCTGTTACTACATGTCCAAGACTTAGGATATTCGTTACTTGTTTTAATATCTCTTCGTTTACTGTGATGGTCACTGTTGATCTTTTTTGTTTCCATTGTAATTACCGCAGTTTTTTTTTTTTTTTTTTTTTTTTTTTTTTTTTTTTTTTTGAACATTAATGTATAAACCATACTCTGCGGTCTAATCGAACCTACTTAAGAAATAAAAGAAGACTAAGCTGAAAAATTAAAAAATACACCAACAAAAGAAAAGAAAACAAAATCATAAATGTGACTCAGGTTTATGGGACATAGTATTCGCGTCATACAAAGGTAAAAGGATAAGACGGCCTGGTGGCAACTGTGGGTAGAGCTTATGCTCCGTTCAGTACAAAAGACAGAAGTAAGTGTGAATGTGAGGCGGACTGTGTAAACAATAAAACACTCACTCTAAAACCCATGGCACGATGATTTGGAATTCTGGAGTTCTGGTCAAGTGGGTTGCTGATACCGGAGTGTCGGGCATACGACATGGCCACCCAGTAGGTACCTCGGCCTGACGACCGGATGTTGTCTGGCAAACCGGGAAGGTTGAGTGAGAATGGCTCCACGCGAAGCCAGGAGTTTCGCTGCAAGCTGACCCTGTGTGTTGAGATGATACACGCGTTTGTAGATATCTTCTCTCTCAAAAGTGCAGATTGGTTAAAAGGTTACGACAACCGCTCGATAACACTTTTCTTGACTCCTCTTTACGAGTTTTGTGTGCGTTAGTTACAAATACATAAACAGTTTGGTCTCTGTCGGCGTCAGTGGCTTGGGCGTTGCAAACGAGTTTAGAAATTGCAAACTGCCGGCTTCGATCCCAGGTGCAGGCGATTTCACTTCAGACACTTTCTGTCACTTGATTAATTCAGAATAGAACTAGGCATGAAGTTAGAATCGGAATTCGCACTTATGCGACCACAAGAAACTGACACTTATTGTAATGTATGAAGATCAGTTCAGTTGCTCTGCCCTAAACTTACTACAACAATCTAACGAAAACAGAATAAGGGTGAAAAAAGTCTACTGGGCTGATACTGTACAAACACTGACACGACTGCGTGGTCTCGAGGTAAGGCACCCGCCTCGAGTGCTAAAGGTGCCGTGTTCAAAACCCGGTAAAGGCTGAGATTTTTTCACGTGGACTTCAAGTAATTTCCTGTGGTCTCTGGGATCGGATGCCCGTGTGTAATGTTGCGCATTTAAAAAAATACTTTGGCAGTTGAAAATTAGAAAGGAGTAGTCTAACTAACAATAGCGGGCAAAGCTTTGAGTTAGAAATCTACCCAAAAAGTATTTGAGGATCCTCGCTGGGGCAATGGAGTCCGTGCACTGCGCTGAGATTCTTCACTAAGGCTTGGGTGAGAAGTAGAACGGAGCACTTACCCGTGTGCCATGATGTTGATCCGTGGACTAAACTTGACTAAACTGAAATGAAATTGTAGGTGAACATTATAACGAATGCGAAAAGTAGACACAAGAGGATACAAACGAAATGGGTTTCAACGTGGGGATCCAGAAAAGACAAGACACAACTTCTTTATCAAAGGAGCAGTTGCCGACTTGTTCCTACACATATTTTATAACTGCAGATTGTCCCAAACATGGTAGTACTCTATGGTTAAAGTCACCTGTGGATTGCAGCCCGACATGTTTCCGCAACAAGCAGGTCTCCCTCTGGTGTGAGTTCAAGTCCATTCGGGAAGTTGAATTGTCCTTTTTGAAGTTCACTCATGCGTAGTGTTCGGGGATCAAAGATCATCAACCTGTTGAATGGTCGAATAGACACGTTTATGACTTTTATGGAACATTTTAAAAGTCAGTAGCGCAAACACAAGATGTATTAGAGATAGGATAAATGTATTCATTTGACAAACACTTGTCAGTCGTTAAGGTATGTTTTTTTCCTCCAGTTTATGGCAAAAAAACCATAAATTTTCAATGTGTTCGTTTTTTGTAAAGCTCAACATTTGCAAAATAGATTACGCACACAATTTATGTCATTTGTAAAAACAATCTGGCATTGTAACTGAAATTCTAACGCTAGTATTTTACTGAAAATTATTATACATACTGTCTTTATGGCTTTGGACACGAAAAGAGAAACAAAAAGCATAAAGGAATTCATGCCAACTAAGCGAATCTTCGAAGTTGAGCAAAAACAAAACCAAAAAAACATTTAAAAAAAGGCTTCTAGAACTAGAACACCAGCATGAAGTAACAGAGGGCAAATCTTTTGTTGTTGGGGCATTTAATTGTTAAATTTATGTGACATTTGCTACATTTTGGATGCAAAACATAAATACCTGTGTAAGAACAATTTTTTTTTTTTTTGGGGGGGGGGGGGGGGGGGGGGTATTTATTATATTTTATGTGACTTTCACAGTTTAAAGTCAGTTTTCTCACAGTTCTATTTTTCTGTTTGTTGTGTGTGGGATAATCTGAAATCTCAGATAATATAAAGACTAGAAACATGACATTTTGTGTAGATTCTCCTTATACAATATTATAGTGTCAGGTCTATTTAAAAGTACAGTTAAAGACTTTTTTTTTAAATTTGATTATTGTCTTACAATGCTAAATTTTTGTATCTGTTCAACATACCTACATTCTAATAGGCTATCCTCCGACTAACGGTCGGTAAAGATGGCGGCCGCAAAATATCTTTTTGAGCCACACAGTCACGTGACTTAATTTGCGGTTCTCCTGCGGTTTTCCGGCGACTATCGCCACCGCATGGGTATCCCGCACGCCGCTCACACGGCGTGGAATGGGGCTGATCTAGATGGCTAGGACCCACGAGCAGCAGCCGCGGTGTACTCGTAACCGCTAGTGCGCAATTGACACGCGACTGTGGCTCGAAAGGATATTTTGCGGCCGCCATCTTTAGCGAGCGTTAGTCGGAGGCTAGCCTTCTAATATTCAAAAAAAAAAAAAAAAAATTCGAAACACCTTTAAAGTAAATAAACTAGACCTGACCCTTAACATAGGAATAAAGTTCACGGTTCAATCTCTATTACTCAATATGTGAAATTGTAAGAGTTTAAGTACTTGGGTTTTTTTTTTTTTTAATTAGGATGAGGCTGTTACCATGGCAACATTGATTTGTTTAAAACTTAAAGTGTACAAATATATTAACATACATTCCTACAAACTACTATAAAATAATTGGTTTAACATTGTAAATTTAAACAAGAATGGGGTGTAGTTACACCCCACCCCCCTCCCAGTTAATTAGAGAATAGGATAAATCTCTAAGCAGTAACACTCTTAAGTCGGAGAACTCTCATATGTACCTGTAATTGAATCACCTATCGTGATAGCAACATGAATTGATTATTAATGAAGACTGATGCAGTGAAATATAACTCCTCTGAGCAAAAAAGAGAGATAATTCTCATTGATAGCATCATTCTCATCGATAGAATCATTCTTATCAATAGCATCATCCTCATCAATAGCATCATCTTCATCAATAGCATCTTTCTCATCCATAGTATCTTTCTTATCAGTAGCATAATTCTTATCAATAGCATAATTCTTATCAATATCTTCATTCTTATCAATAGCATCATCCTTATCAATAGCATCATTCTCATCAATAGCACCATTCTCATCAATAGCATCATTCTCATCAATAGCATCATTCTCATCAACAGCATCATTCTCATCAATAGCATCATTCTCATCAATAGCATCATTCTCATCAATAGCATCATTCTCATCAACAGCATCATTCTCACCAATAGCATCATTCTCATCAATAGCATCATTCTCATCAATAGCATCATTCTCATCAATAGCATCATTCTCATCAATAGCATCATTCTCATCAATAGCATCATTCTCATCAATAGCATCATTCTCATCAATAGCATCATTCTCATCAATAGCATCATTCTCATCAATAGCATCATTCTCATCAATAGCATCATTCCCATCAATAGCATCATTCCAATAGCATCATCCTCATCAATAGCATCATTCTCATCAATAGCATCATCTTCATCAATAGCATCATTCTCATCAATAGCATCATTCTCATCAATAGCATCATTCTCATCAAAAGCATCATTCTCATCAATAGCATCATTCTCATCAATAGCATCATTCTCATCAATAGCATCATTCTCATCAATAGCATCATTCTCATCAATAGCATCATTCTCATCAATAGCATCATTCTCATCAATAGCATCATTCTCATCAATAGCATCATTCTCATCAATAGCATCATCTTCATCAATAGCATCATTCTCATCAATAGCATCATTCTCATCAATAGCATCATTCTCATCAATAGCATCATTCTCATCAATAGCATCATTCTCATCAATAGCATCATTCTCATCAATAGCATCATTCTCATCAATAGCATCATTCTCATCAATAGCATCATTCTCATCAATAGCATCATTCTCATCAATAGCATCATTCTCATCAATAGCATCATCTTCATCAATAGCATCATTCTCATCAATAGCATCATTCTCATCAATAGCATCATTCATCAATAGCATCATCTCATCAATAGCATCATTCTCCATCAATAGCATCATTCTCATCAATCATTCATCATAACATCATTCTCATCAATATATCATTCTCATCAATAAACATCATTCTCATCAATAGCATCATTCTCATTCATCAATACATCATCATCATCCTCATCAATAGCATCATCCTCATCAATAGCATCATTCTCATCAATAGCATCATTCCTCATCAATAGCATCATTCTCATCAATAGCATCAATAGCATCACCCTCATCATAGCATCATTCTCAATAGCAATCCTCATCAATAGCATCATTCTCATCAATAGCATCATTCTCATCAATAGCATCATCCTCATCAATAGCATCATCCTCATCAATAGCATCATCCTCATCAATAGCATCATTTTCATCAATAGCATCATTCTCATCAATAGCATCATCCTCATCAATATATCATTTTCATAGCATCCTCATCAATAGCATCATTCTCATCAATAGCATCATCTTCATCAATAGCATCATTCTCATCAATAGCATCATTCTCATCAATAGCATCATTCTTCATCAATAGCATCATTCTCATCAATAGCATCATTTCTCATCAATAGCATCATTCTCATCAATAGCATCATTCTCATCAATAGCATCATTCTCATCAATAGCATCATCTTCATCAATAGCATCAATCAGCATCATTCTCATCAATAGCATCATTCTCATCAATAGCATCATTCTCATCAATAGCATCATTCTCATCAATAGCATCATTCTCATCAATAGCATCATTCTCATCAATAGCATCATTCTCATCAATAGCATCATTCTCATCAATAGCATCATTCTCATCAATAGCATCATTCTCATCAATAGCATCATTCTCATCAATAGCATCATTCTCATCAATAGCATCATTCTCATCAACAGCATCATCTCATCAATAGCATCATTCTCATCAACAGCATCATTCTCATCAATAGCATCATTCTCATCATCATTCTCATCAGCATCATTCTCATCAATAGCATCATTCTCATCAATAGCATCATTCTCATCAACAGCATCATTCTCATCAATAGCATCATTCTCATCAATAGCATCATTCTCATCAATAGCATCATTCTCATCAACAGCATCATTCTCATCAATAGCATCATTCTCATCAATAGCATCATTCTCATCAATAGCATCATTCTCATCAATAGCATCATTCTCATCAATAGCATCATTCTCATCAATAGCATCATTCTCATCAATAGCATCATCTTCATCAATAGCATCATTCTCATCAATAGCATCATTCTCATCAATAGCATCATTCTCATCAAAAGCATCATTCTCATCAATAGCATCATTCTCATCAATAACATCATTCTCATCAATAGCATAATTCTCATCAATAACATCATTCCCATCAATAACATCATTCTCATTAATAGCATCATCCACATCAATAGCATCATCCTCATCAATAGCATCATCCTCATCAATATAGCATTCTCATCATAGCATCAATAGCATCATCAATAGCATCATTCTCATCAATAGCATCATCAATAGCATCATTCTCATCAATAGCATCATCAATAGAATCATTCTCATCAATAGCATCATTCTCATCAATAGAATCATTCTCATCAATAGCATCATTCTCATCAATAGCATCATTCTCATCAACAGCATCATTCTCATCAATAGCATCATCTCATCAATAGCATCATTCTCATCAATAGCATCATCAATAGCATCATTCTCATCAATACATCATTTTCACCAATAGCATGATCCTCATCAAAAGTATCATCCTCATCAATATATCATTTTCACCAATAGCATCATCCTGATCAATAGCATCATACTCATCAATAGCATCATCTTCATCAATAGCATCATTCTCATCAATAGCATCATTCTCATCAATAGCATCATTCTCATCAATAGCATCATCTTCATCAATAGCATCATTCTCATCAATAGCATCATTCTCATCAATAGCATCATTCTCATCAATAGCATCATCTTCATCAATAGCATCATTCTCATCAATAGCATCATCTTCATCAATAGCATCATTCTCATCAATAGCATCATTCTCATCAATAGCATCATCTTCATCAATAGCATCATCTTCATCAATAGCATCATTCTCATCAATAGCATCATTCTCATCAATAGCATCATTCTCATCAATAGCATCATTCTCATCAACAGCATCATTCTCATCAATAGCATCATCTTCATCAATAGCATCATTCTCATCAATAGCATCATCTTCATCAATAGCATCATTCTCATCAATAGCATCATTCTCATCAATAGCATCATCTTCATCAATAGCATCATTCTCATTAATAGCATCATTCTCATCAACAGCATCATTCTCATCAAAAGAATCATTCTCATCAACAGAATCATTCTCATCAGTAGCATCATTCTCATCAACAGCATCATTCTCATCAATAGCATCATTCTCATCAACAGCATCATTCTCATCAATAGCATCATTCTCATAAATAGCATCATTCTCATCAACAGCATCATTCTCATCAATAGCATCATTCTCATCAATAGCATCATTCTCATCAACAGCATCATTCCCATCAATAGCATCATTCTCATCAATAGCATCATTCTCATCAATAGCATCATTCTCATCAACAGCATCATTCTCATCAACAGCATCATTCTCATCAATAGCATCATTCTCATCAATAGCATCATTCTCATCAATAGCATCATTCTCATCAACAGCATCATTCCCATCAATAGCATCATTCTCATCAATGGCATCATTCCCATCAATAGCATCATTCTCATTAATAGCATCATTCTCATCAACAGCATCATTCTCATAAATAGCATCATTCTCAACAATAGCATCATTCTTATCAATATCATCATTCTCATCAATAGCATCATTCTCATCAACAGCATCATTCTCATCAATAGCATCATTCTCATCAATAGCATCATTCTCATCAATAGCATCATTCTCATCAATAGCATCATTCTCATCAATAGCATCATTCTCATCAATAGCATCATTCTCATCAATAGCATCATCAATAGCATCATTCTCATCAATAGCATCATCAATAGCATCATTCTCATCAATAGCATCATCAATAGAATCATTCTCATCAATAGCATCATTCTCATCAATAGCATCATTCTCATCAACAGCATCATTCTCATCAATAGCATCATTCTCATCAATAGCATCATTCTCATCAATAGCATCATCAATAGCATCATTCTCATCAATAGCATCATCAATAGAATCATTCTCATCAATAGCATCATTCTCATCAATAGCATCATTCTCATCAATAGCATCATTCTCATCAATAGCAACATCAATAGCATCATTCTCATCAGTAGCATCATTCTCATCAACAGCATCATTCTCATCAATAGCATCATTCTCATCAACAGCATCATTCTCATCAATAGCATCATTCCCATCAATAGCATCATTCTCATCAATAGCATCATTCTTATCAATATCATCATTCTCATCAACAGCATCATTCTCATCAATAGCATCATCATCAGTATCACGATCAACGTTATCAACATCATCATTTTTTTCGCTTGCCATTAAACATCGAAGGGATTAATTTGTGTTCCTAAATAAATCATCTATTTTAACAAATTATGTTTTCACGTCTTGACTTGACTTGGTTTGCAATTTAAAAAAAAAATCTGTTTCAACCAGCATCCCCCCAAAAGTGGAAGAGGGGGGGGGGGGTGGTTATAATTGTGACTAGGTTATATTTGCCACTTAGAATGGCTTAACGTTGCTCGCAACCAAGAAGTCCTGAAAGGAACTTTTGCAGTGTTTACGGGATCCGATGAGACAGACCCAAATACTGTTCCGACCGACGACGAAGCCGGCTAATGGCCAGCCAATGGGCGACCCGGTTGCCAATGTTATTAAATTGTCTTACGTGTAGCACCTCTAGCACGTGTTGGTAGTTGTTATGACAACATTCTAACGAGATGACCGAACCATTTTATCTTCTGCTTCTGAGTGAATTTGGTGCAATTTTTTGCTCAAACAATCTGTCTGTGTTATTTTTTATACTTTCTTTGATGTTTCATTGAAAGTAAAAGTTGAAGATCCCTTTCCCCCGCCTTTAGGTGTATTGGGAATATAGGGCTAGACCTATATATTTTTTACCAATTGGCACTTGGTGGGGTGATGTGGTCAGCATCACACTGGCCGCCTTTACTTTCCAGGACTGAACCTGGTACCCACTCAAGGCTGGGTCGACTCTGGAGTCAAGGTCACTTTTGAAAAAAGACACCAACCCACGGCGACTCCCCTAATGGTTCCTTTAGCGGTAATAATTATACGGAAGTTTGCTTATGATGTGACCAAGGTTGGAAATGAAAGCACAGTATTCGAATGAATTTGTTGTTTATAATATGTTAGTTAGAAGAAACAACAAAGAAATACACAAACCTGCCAGTATTTCGCCCGTCCATACAGATGTATGTATCATAGTCAATACTGTAGACATCACTAGAATCACTCAGGATGACCACACCAGATGAAGTCACAACCATGTCGTTCAAGTGTACGGGTCGCCTCCCATTGACGGGCGTGTTGGTAGAAAATAATAGTCGATAGCTTCCTGAACAGACAGGTAATTAATGCGTTTGATACCCCGTAAACTTTGGACTTGTTTGATACCCCGTAAACTTTCGTACATTAGAAATTCCTCACAATTAATGGCATGTTTAATATCTTGCAGTTGACACTTGAACAAGAGCATTTGATTGTCTATGTACTTTGAACGCTCGATATTTCCCGTGCGCGTTCCACGGTTCTGTTTTAACGAACAAAGAATAGACACACTGCTGCTCTAACACGCATGTGGGGGGTTGGGGGGGGGCGACTAGTTAGAAGTGTTTCCTTCATTCCATCTGTCTGAGAGAAATGGGACAAACAGTCTGTATACATGTAAGTTAGATCTATAACACGGATCTGCCCGCAAAGGTCAAGTCCTGGATGAAGACCAAAGTCCTTGAGTGGACTAACAACCAGAACTTTCCTCCGGAGTTTACAGCCGGTGAACGCTAACAGGAAGAACACTCGATACGTGTAGTAAATTTGCAATAACTTCGATAAATATCAGATACAATAAATTGTTGTTTCATTAGAAATAAGTTCACACTTAATGATAGGACATGAAGCTAGAATTTAACTTTTAAAGAGAGATCTAAGCGTCGCCTCCCCCAACTTTAATGTGAGGGGTGGGAAATGCTTACTAAAAAATCTTCAATGGGAGCCATCAAGTCATGCCGAAAGTTATCCAGTTACAGCGAAATAACATACTACATCGCTGGGACAATAAATAAGTACGGTATGTGTCTGTGTTTTTCTATCGAAAATATATTCGTTTTACTAAAATACGCCAATATCAAAATTTTATTAGAACAATGTTTTATTTTTTCTTAAATGTATTCACATTGCTAACATACAGCGGTACTTAGATAATGCCACTCCCCCTTTTTGTTTTGTCCACCACTTCCCTTCTACCCCATACCCTCAAATGTGCATAAACTACTTTCAACGTAGAACAAAGTTACTACATACATTTATCAGCTATGCATCTCTTGGCAGTTAGCAAGTGTAGGAACAAATAACGGTGTTTTTAAAATCAAGAGTAACACATGCACACAGACATACTAGTTATTTGGTGGCCAGATGTTACTAAAAACAAGGGTAACACCTCTGAGGCACACATACATACCAGTTATTGGGTGGCTAGATGTCACCAAAAACAAGAGTAAAACAGGCACACGGACATACCAGTTATTGTGTGGCAATATGTAACTTAAAAACAAGAGTAACACAGGCACACAGACATATCAGTTGTTGGGTGGCTAGATGTCACCAAAAACATGAGTAACACAGGCACACAGACATACCAGTTGTTGGGTGGCTAGATGTCACCAAAAACATGAGTAACACAGGCACACAGACATACCAGTTGTTGGGTGGCTAGATGTCACCAAAAACATGAGTAACACAGGCACACAGACATACCAGTTTTTGCGTGGCAATATGTCGCTAAAAACAAGAATAACACAGACACACAGACATACCAGTTATTGGGTGGCAATATGTCGCTAAAAACAAGAGTAACACAGGTACACAGACGTACCAGTTACTGGGTGGACCATGAACAATCCTCTAAAAGTGTCCAGTGCCAAAAGGTGACCGTTGGCCGGATACAGTCGTAAACTGGTCAGCTGACCACACTGGTACTTGCCAACTGTTTAATGAGTGTTCGTGCAAATAAAAGATACAACATTATTAACGTTTGAAATGAATAATTAGTTTATACGTCTTTTTGCCCGGCTCTCTAGCGTAGTTGGCTAAACCGGACTGCGCGGTGACCGGGTAACGAACTCCTTGTGGTCCGGGTTCACTCCCGGGGGATAGGCAGAAAAGCCATATTTTCTCCCAGATTTACGATACCTATCATGGAATCAAGGCCGAAGGGTTGCGATATCCATAGTACCGAGCCAAAGGGTTAACAACTCATGGTTTCTGGATATTTAAAAAAAAAAACACTCAAATCTTCTTCTTTTTCGCGCTTACAGGCTGCACATTTTGGCGGAAAGTTCTGCTTCTTCGTCCACTTCAGGACTCTAGTCGTGTTCTAGAACCTGAGTGTCACCTGCACATCCGTTTTACTGATCTGTGCAGACTGTCTAGCCTTCCGTCTATTTTTTTTAAAACACTCAACCTACTGCTAGCATTATTGGCTTTAATTGTGACATTCTATCGATTTACATCCACCATTTATCTATTAGGATGCCAGTGATCAATGGTGATTTAAACTGATTATGAATTTCGTTGTTGCTTCTCACTCTCATTCCCCGCTGTTTGCGTCTTTGATGGTTCCAAAGATTCGTCGTAAGAAAACCTGTTATAAGGCTTCGTCTCTTTTAGTTGTGCTCTAAGTTTCAGAGCCATATTAAACGACTGGTCTTATCAACGTTCTATTTATTTTAATCTTGGTGTTGCGAGACAGACACTTTGACTTTAGCAGATGTTGAAGGGCACAGAATACTTTTTTTTTTTTTTTTCATATTCTATTCTAGGTTGTTTTCTTCTCTCAGCATGTTGGAGCAGTTGAAGTTTGCACCCAAGTCCTTATATGTTTCCGTTCGTTTGATTTTCATATTATCGACTTGAATGTGGATGGAGTTTATATTCTTTCTATGTCTAGTTAGTATTCGTACAGAATAGTAAACATTTAAAAACATGTTATGTTTTGCATCCTTCAGTCAGTCTGTGGTAAATAATAACTATAAATGAAAGTATTCTTAGTATTATAACAAGTACCTAAGCTTGTAAATTGTCACTGACAGCTTAGTTAATGCATGAAAGCGGTATAAGCTTTCAACAAAACCAATCGTCCCATTTTGCCAGTATTAAGACTGTGTATGCAGGAGCGGGTGTAAGGCAACCACTATTCGTATTCGGCCAGACCGCAAGTATTCGGCCGAATACCGAATAGTTATTAGGTCCACTATTCGGGCAAGCAAGCCCGCGAAGTGAATACGAAGCAAATGTTCGGTACAGTTCTTATTTATATATTTTGCATACACAAGTAAATTCAAATTCATTAGTAGTTTATTATACACATTTATGTGACTTCGTTTATAATGTAAGTTGTCCTGGTTACCTGGCACGCATGCCAGACTATCGCCTCCTAAAGAGAGTATTTTATGGCGAGCTACAGCAACGGAAGAGGTTCCAGAGGGATTGTGAAAGGGCTATAAGGACACTCTCAAATCTGTTCTCAATTCTTTTGAAATCAACACAGCAACATGGGAGGCTGCTGCACAAGACCGTTCTGGATTATGTACATCCCCCAGGCATGCTACATCAGCCTGCCAAGCAGCGGAGGTTGAACAGGTAGAGAAATGAAGGCAGACTTTAAAAAAAGCAGTATCGCGAATCCCACACTTACTGCACCTTTCACCTGTTGTCCGCACTGCTCAAGAACTTTCTAGGCTCGTATTGGATTATTCAGCCACTTTTGTACTCATAATCATTGATCTTTACTACTGTGGATGAAAAATGGTCTTCGTCACTCGTGATGGTCGAACAACAACAAGTTAGATTTTAAAAAATCGTACCAATTGATTAATTTGATTATGTTTACAGCAAGAAATAGAGTTTAAATTCATGAGCCAGTTTTGTATAAGCTATTTCATGCTTTTTCCAAAACCTTACTAAATACATTGCTAGCTTACCGCAGCCTGGAGCAGCCAGATTGGCAATGAGACGAGGCGGGCATCTGGCCATATCATAAATCTTGCTGTCAACTGTGCTTGCAAACAAGTTATCTGGAGGGAGGTAGAAGACAGACAAACTAGTTTAGTTTTTGTTTGGCCTCATATGCATTGCCTCATTAATTATTCATCTTCTCTGGGAACTATTCAGCTTAAACTGAAATAGTGTAATTCTGTAAATTTTGTTTGGTGCCATCACATTGTTAACCTTAATGACGTGTGGTGTTAGTCTTCCTCCTCCTCCTCCTTTTTCTTCTTTTTCTTCTTCTTCGTCTTCTTCTCCTTCTCCTACCCTTCTCCTATCCCTCCTCCTCCTCGTTCTTCTTTTTCCTTTTATTTCTCTTTTTCCTCCTCCTCCTCCTCCTCTTCTTCGTCTTCTTCTTCTTCTTCTTCTTCTTCTTCTTCTGGGTTTGGTTCTGCAACGTCCTGTAAAATATACGCAACTAACCCTAATTTCAATAGAGGCCAACCAATTTCTGAGAAGGAATGTGAATAATATGACATTTAAACAAAATGAATCGGCGATGCAAAAATAAATTATTAATATGTAGAATATGAAACATATAACAGTGAACAATACACCTGTTTAGGAGGACAGTAGTCAGATGTAAGTACCAAGGGTACAGTCGTGGTGTCGTCACAACCTTTTTCAAAGAGCACCACACATTTGTCAGTACTGATATACAGTTGGAAAGGAAATGCGGCGAAGAAAGGACTCAGTCCACCTTACATGCTTATGATATAAACTATAATATTATTCCACATTTCAAGAAAAGGATTTATGGAAGGCGAGAGATATACAACAACTGAAAGCTTGCCATTACATGAAAGCGTTTGAGCACCGGATCTGATATGTGTTGTTACAGATCGGAAGATGTAGAGAAACTGTATAGCCCACCGAGTCGGCAGTAACGTGATGATGATGAGGACGATGATGATTAGATAAAAATAACGAATCGTCATGATCATCAACAACAACAACAACAAACAACAACAAAGAAATGATAATTTATATCCCTGACAGTACAATTCAAACACACCCCGGTATTGTTCCTGTTGTTGTATTATTCAATTTCATGTTCAGTATAATTATCAGTACTTTTTTTTCAAAAATGAGCTTGACTCCCAGGTCGACCTAGCCTTGAGTGGGTACCGGGTGCATTCCCGTAAAGTAAAGGCGGTCGGTGTGATGCTGACCACCTCACCCATCTTGTGCTGTTTGGTCTATATAAAAAAAAGTCAGTATCACTACCAACACGGACAACGAAAATGTGTGTTGTTTTAGCAGACAATTTAATGGTCAGTATTCTTATCCTAATCAGTATCGTCATAAGCACAGGCGAGGAACAATTTTTAAGCGTTAGTGGCGTGAGTTAAAATTCTGAACAGTACCCGGTGTGCTGACCATCGAGGTTACTCCCTTGGTCTGATTTGGGTGCACCCGTTCACCGTCAGTCAGAACATTGTTTGCTGCCATAGGTCCCATCAATACAGGTGGAACTGGAAGACTAGAAAATACAAGATAAAGGTAAAGGTAAAGTCGGGAGATGTGAATCAGCGTCATTGCACGCGGTTATAAACCATAAGTGTTCTGCCACAACTACGGACAGCTGATAAGAAACTGTCTGCCTGTGTCGCCGTCCGCAGGAATCTCCGTAGCTACAGCGACGTTCATCCATTTGCGCCAGAGTGTTAACTCTGGTACCCATTTTCTAAAGTCTATGTGAACCCGGGGAACCGCCCAGTTTCGAACACCGGCCGTGGGCCGCAGCGAGTCCGATCGAGAGCTCCGTAAAATACGAGAACTCTCATTAATCTACAGAGTGAGTCACAAGAAGAACAATACGTTACCCTGTGCCTAAATCAGAATGCAATTTTTTTTTTGTTTTTTTGTTAAGCTAGCAGTTTCGAGACAGTTAAACGACTTGGTATTGTTGTGCTGCTATGTATAATTAAACTGAACTTTTTTTATTCAGATGGTCTCATTTCCGTTACCCAATATATTGTTGCGTGAATACACAATTGCTATTTAACATAGAGCTTTTTTTTTTCCAAACCGACCCTTATGTATTTATTGCTTTTTTTTAACATTGATTTATAAATTTTATTTTTAATTACATTCAAGGACACCTTCCTTTGGTGTGTAATTATTCATCAGTATTGCAGGACTTTCTCCTTTCCATTACGCTAGAAATCTCAAGGAGGCCGCGTGGTCTCGATAAATGGTGTTTGCCTAGTGTACTAAAGGCCCAGATTCAGGCATCAGTGAGGGTTGGGTTTTTTTTTTTTTTTTTACGTGGAATTTTAGTATCCCCCCCCCCCTGGTCTTTGTGTAGTGAGAAAGGACGCCCGTGTGTATTGCTGCGCGCATTAAAAAAAAATACCTTAGCAGTTGGAAATCGAAAAGGATAGCCTAAGGCGCTGCACTGGCAAAATTTGGAGTTGAAAATCTACCAAAAATATTTCAGGATCCTCTCCGGTGCTACGGAGCCAGTGCACTGCGTGAGATTCTTCAGACTCAGTCTTGAGTTTAGAAGTAGAACGAAGCACTTATGGTTTACTACCCGTTGTGGCCATGTTGTGTTGATCCGTCGAAAAAAACATAAACATTAACATCCACTGACCTAACACTACTTGATTTATTTAATGATAACTTTAAATATTGTGTTATTTTACAAGTACACACGTATATTTTTTGCTCTGGCTTTAAAAACAGCTAGATAAGAAAAAACCATACGTAAGCCACCGTCGTTACATCAACCAAAAAATGGATGGGAGTGTTAGCCTAAAAACACTTGGAGATGATACTCAGGAGGAGACGGAGCACTTTTATGGTCATGTCCGATGTGCGATGAAGATTTCTTTAATATGAAGCTATGAACTATGGCATTGCAGCGAAGTCGAAGATTTGTATGTTTTTGGAGGTGCAAAAACAAATATTCGTTCTCCAGTCTGTATTGTTACACTGATTCATAGTTATACTATACAAATATTGACACCATATGAAATACAAATTAGGATCAATACTGGACAACCGCCTAATATCAGTAATTATAATACACAGAAGATGTTATAATTCTGAGGAGAAACAAAGGAACTTTATATCCAAAGGGTCACAAATGGGCACGCAGGCCCCGTTTACATTCGGGCCCTTCCAAAACACCCGTCTTTCACACTGCAACTGCATTGGATACAATAAGCATGTTATATTTATATGATAATATGCATATTCCATGAATATCAAAAACAAAAAGAAAAAGACAGAGGGAAAAAAAACACAGAGGACGAAGGGGAAATCACAAACAGGCACTGCAATGGGAAGAGGGATTCAGGAAAACGAATTAGTCTAAGAGAAACATTAAGGTGAACGTTGACGAGAGGAGGAAAACGTTGCTGGTCCGGGAACACCCCGGGGCTGAGAATTGTTCTTTTGAGTCAGCCCTGCTTGTCCAGGCGGCTTCCCGATTTTTAGGGCTCGGTCACCGGGTTTGGTTTACAGCTGTGCTGCGTACCTGCATTTAAAGTTTTAACGTTTCTGCTTGAAATGTTTTAACGTATCTGCATTGAAAAAGTTTTTAAGTATCGCATTGAAATGTTTTAACGTATTTCATTTAACATGTTTTAAGTACGAATTTAAAAAGTTTTAACGTATCTGCATTTAACATGTTTTAAAAATATCGCATTTAAAATGTTTAACGTATCTTTCATTGAACTGTTTTAACGTACCTGATTGAACTGTTTTAAAAGTTTCGCATTTAACTGTTTTTAAATACCGCATTGAACATGTTTTAACGATTGCATTTTAACATGTTTAACTACTGCATTGAACATGTTTTAAAAAGACTGATTTAACATGTTTTAAAGTATCTGCTTGAACATGTTTTTTAAAGAAAAATATGAAATA